TGGGAGCCTGTACGATCTCCGTAATGCGCCGGCGCCGAACAGAGCCAGCTGCTTTTCGACGACGCTCTCTACCGCACCGGCGGACGATCAGCCACTCTGGCTTGCGGCAAACTAGTTTTGACCATAGCAGTAAGCTGTCAGCGATGTATTCAATAGTTCACTCCGAGCTCCCATCGACAGATGCAGCATTGCTGCTGTCAAGGATTCCCACACTGAACCATGCCCAGCAGACAAACCGCACCGCAGCTCCGAATGCAGACATCGATCTTGCCAGTCGCTGTAGTGCAAGTCGTCAGGCTGCTGTTGCAGACTAGATTGGCTGCATGTAAACTTGCAGTGCGAGGCGCTACTCCCAGCCAAGGCCGAGTCGATGTCCGCGGTCAGCGGTGGGCGCCAATCCTAGCCCAAACACACTTGTACCGAGGAGCACAATGTCAACGGCGGAATACGAATGGCTACCGGTCCATACCTACCAGCCAAAATTCAATTGCGAATCTCCGCGCGTGCGGATCGTCCTCATAGTGTGCTCGTTGGCACACGGCAAGTACATTCATCCGAACAGCCCGAACCTGCACACCACGGCTAAGGGTTCCCCATGGTCAGGCAGGGCCATGGTGGGGTAGCCTTTGCTTGACAGGAGGCGACCCGGCGGACAGCCAACAATTGCTGGGAACATTGCATGCAATTGAATCATTTGTCATTCCAGATTGCAGACTACGCACATCTGTGAGGAGGGCGGAAGAAGTACTAGACCCTTCCCGTGGCATTCTTTGGGATAGGTTGCGGGACGAATACGAATTGGACGATGCGTTTCGACGAGGAACAGAACTAACAAGGACAATCTGGTATGACAGTGTGAGACAAGATGTGTAGAAACAAGAGCAGATCGTCATACTTGATAAGTCTGGCATTCGACCTCTAATGCGCACTCAGTTTGAAGGACTTGCGGCTCAACCCCCTCCTCAGGGACAGTACTCTCCGAGTATACAGAGGGCTGAACATCTGCCGAACAGAACAAGGCTAATCACAACAACCATCGCTGATTGTGACCGGTGCTTCTTCAAAAATGCTTGTGGGGGCGTCTCTGCCGATTTGTCTGCGTCGTACAATGCTTCCCCTTACTCCTACTGGTCACTTCGTGTCTTTCAATAATCGCAATCTCCCGAGCTTGTATTAGAAAGACCTTTCCCTAGAGCTACATTTCCCTGAAGTCCGTCAACATGAACATAGGGATACAATTCTCGTTCCAGGTATTGGTTGACTCGAGGGTGTATCCAAAATCGCCCATGATGATGTCCTTTGTGGCTGATTGCAATATTTTTTCCCACATGTATTGGCGGCAAGTAGGTCTTCGAGGAAGACGAATTTAGACTTTTTATGGAGATGGCAACGTCGATAGTCCGAGCTCTTACTTCGGGAAGAAGATCAGCGAGCTCCGATAAGAGGCGTCTACCTTAAGCACTGGCCCGCCATTCGTTGGAGGGAGGTATGTTTGGAAGGACAAGGCAGCTCGCAATCTCAGAGAGGAACGTGCCCTGGATTTCGTGATTGTTAAGTGCAGTTAAGCATTGCCGCACGCAAGTTGCCTTGTTTGTGATAGAAAGGCTCTTCGCAATATCGGTTGGGTGAGGGAGAAGTAAAAGCTGGGAAGGAGGAAGTACAGATCATCGAGGCCTCTGGTCGCTTGGATTTCTGCAGCAAAGTCCCCATCATGGGAGGTCAAAGGCGTAGGGGTTGAGTGGACCGAAAGTACAGCTTACCGACAGTCCAGCCTCAGAAACCTAGTTAGGGAGTTCATAGCTGCGTCTAAGTGGGGGCACGAAAACAAGAGGTCTCCCCAGCTCCCGGATGAATCAAGCGTGGGTCGACGGAAAGTGAGGCTGGTTTGAGAGACCAAATTCGTGAGGGCTCGGAAATTCAATCTTCCGACAAAACTAATGCCGATTTCGACCACAGGCCCTTGGAACCCGCAGCCTCCTTCTTCCACCAACTGGTCGACTATTTCTAATCCGCCATGACCGATCGATCAGAACAGATCAGACAAAGTCCTATTGGGAACAGCCTTGATGCTGTTCACAGCACTTTCAACTCCATATGCAATGGTGCAAAGACTCCTTGTACCGCCGACGCTATAGATCAACTCGGTGCAGAAGGTGCAATCGCTAGCTCGTGTTGCATTACCCCTCTAATTTTCATCCAGATCTTCGAAATTTAACTCTGACTCTCCTTTCTGCTTTGCGAAGCCATATTCTTTCAAGATCCCTTCCTTCGAAATCGGGCTCTAGCAACTTCCAAAACGATCTCCTCCGGCTTATTTCGGCCGCTACCTCCGATAATTTCGAATTCGATAGCGTTAAGTCCCTCCTGAAGTCGGCCCTCTCCAACAAAGTGGATGATTTCACCATCTGGGATCAAGCATACAGCGCCGTGCCCGAAACCACGCCACCCCCCCGAACGATAGCCTCCTCACTTCAACAAACGCCCTGGCAACGTAATACGAGCAGTTTCGCCAATTCGTCCGAACACCGTCGATATGTTGACGATATACTGAAAGAGGAGCTCGGCACTATGTATGTTGGGCTTCCCGGCCTTCGAGACGCATATTTTGGAGGTGTGGTCGGGCTTGAGGCTGCGTCCAAGGAGTTCTTCGATCAGTGCCTCAATGGGGACTATTCTGCCTTCCACGACGGCTGGGAGGGTTGGCCCCAGGATACAAACGAGAAAAGCGTGCTAGAGTGGCTTGCTGGCTTCGTCAAGAAGCTGGCGCTGTTTGCAAACACCCAGCAGTCAAACACAACACATCAACGAAGCCTCTTAGCACACCCCAACACACCGATGCAGGGTTCCACAGCAGATCGCAAACTAGATGTCGGGTTCGTCGATAACCTCGAGGTTGGCCAAGGGTCTCGACACCACTGGAAGCAAATCCTGGTACCTGGAGAACTCAAGAGTAACCCATCTGCCGACACAGCCTCCAAAGCTTGGCTTGACCTTGGAAGGTATGCGAGGGAAGTGCTCGCTGCACAAGACACCCGACGCTTTGTCCTGGGCTTCACGCTCTGTGGACCTCTCATGAGGGTATGGGGCTTTGACCGGCTTGGAGCCATCGCGTCAGAGCAGTTTGACATCAACAAAGACGGCCTGCAGTTCGTGTTCATAGTACTTGGATTTCTTTGGATGGATGACGAAGCCCTGGGGTTTGATCCAACGGTTAAGGTATTGGACAACAACCGCTTCATCAACATTAAGCGGAATGGTTCCACAGAGCGAATTGTTATTGATGGGGTAATTTTACGAGCACGCTGTGTGGCTGGCCGGGCTGCGACTTGTTGGAAGGCCCACCCTGAGGAACACCCAGACACGCCGCTTGTCATCAAGGACTCATGGCAGTATCCTGAACGTGACGAAGAGGGCGGCCTCCTACGGGAAGTAACGGATAAACATGTTGTGAATGTGGCCCGGTATTATTACCATGAAACGGTCCAGGTTCACGAGACAGACGATGATATCTGCAACAATGTTCGTCACGGCCTAAATGTCATAGCAGCAAGCAACTACCGGCCAGGACGACAGATGCCACCAAGCAACATGGCAAAAGAAACCACGCGGAAGGGCCGCAGCAACACCAGCAGAAAGCGTCCATCCAGCCAAACTGATTCCACCCTTCCCCCTAGCAAGCGATCCTGCTCCGCGTCTCCAACCAAGGCTGTAAGTATACCTCCCAATCGGGTTCATCGGCGGATTATTCTTCAGGATTACGGCAAGCCTATATACAAGGCAAGCTCTCGATCAGCACTACTTGCTGCCCTCGTAGGCTGTATTGACGGCCACGAGTCTTTGTACAAGGCAGGCATCCTCCACAGAGATATATCTATTAACAACCTCATGATCAATGAGGACAGCGGCAACCCATCCTGGCCAGCGTTTCTGATTGACCTTGACCTGGCAATTCGAGAGCCACGAGAGAGTGCCTCAGGTGCCAAGGGAAAGACCGGCACGAGGGCCTTTATGGCAATCGGGGCACTAATAGGTGAGCAGCATTCGTTCATGCACGACCTTGAGTCGTTCTTCTGGG